TTACACTCTTGTGCCAATAAAATAGTGCTCAATTTCTCATTCAGCGTTCAAATAATCGTCGATCAATGTTTCTCAAGTAACTGCAGCTGTTTTACCTGGGGTGACACGGTTCGTTGATCAGAGTGTTGCGTACATCGACATCGTCGTTCGCTTGCTCCACAAATTCACCCTCCTCGACGTTCCACCCGCCTTCCCTCGCCATTGTCCGGCACATTTTCGCGTTGCCAATTTTCCTTGGTTCCTTGTAAAACACGATGCTCACTTTCCGACACCAGACCCTGCAAACGAGGAACAAAATTTATGAATAAAAAGTAATTAATAAAGTTTCTAATTTCTATTTAAATTTTACTTTTCTATTTTAGATAATTACAGTTATTTCTTTTTTTATGATAGTACTTGTTGTATAAAGGAAAATTTTGATTGAGTTTCCCGAGGTAGGATATCAAGAAGAGTGATCAACGCATGAATAATTAATTTGCAGTTTGTTGTAAAATGGAGATTGCTGTCTGTGCAGTTTCAGCATCGATCGACGTCTCCGTTTTTCTATTAATAAATCTAGTTTATATCAATTTATGTGATACGGGGTATGTTTATTTTAGTACGGCGGTAAGGCTCTATCAAAACTCGCAGAATTAATGTTTTCTTTCTCTTCTTCATCTTCTCATTGTTCTTGTTCGTTTCCAAAATTATTCGAAAGAATATCTTTCGAAATATTCAGAGTGAAAAGTTTCATAATTTTTAATTGCATCCCTATCCTCTTCACTATATGTATCAACATACTACATGTAAATACATCTACTAAAAAATACTATTAACAATTTTGTTTAAAATTTTTGGCGCCTGAAAGTTTCTCCAATAATTTTTATAAATTTAGACAGTAATTTAAATTTCCAAGATTCGAGTATATGAATATATCTATCGAACTGGTGGTTCAATAATTTTTACACGCAGTAATTATTTATTCGAAACTTTCGTTGCCAAACAATAATTTTATGTCGATAAAAAATTTTCCACGATACGTTTGAGATCCATATAAATATCTTTGATTAGATTTCCTTTTCGTCGATAATTTTTCCACACGATTTGTTGTTATAGCGTATTTCTTCCAGAGTTGTATCGACTGATAAATTTTAGAGTACTACGATAAATCTTTCGCGGGGAAAATTTTTCGCTGTTTTATGCAAAGTTATTTTGCGGAAAACGAGAGAGCTGTTCAGCGTGAAACAGCGTTCAAAGCCACTTGCTTGCTCGAGATGCATGCAACAAGCGGTTGATCAGACTTACTAGCGTTATTGATGAATATTTACAATGCACTTTGCGTCCATAAAATAAAATCGTGATGGAATTGTGCAGCTGGCTGAGAAGGTTCTATTTTACAAACCAACAAATCTCTAACCAACTGTCTCGTTAATGTAATTTTATTAAATTTGCCGAAGAATTTCAGTGTACTAAGTAATCTTTCTCGTTGGTAAGAAATGGTAGAACTTCGAAAAACTTCAAGATTCATTTCTTCCAAAATTCTGTCCCACCGAGATTATTATAATTTATAATTAATAATTATTTCTGTAAAATTCACGAGCAGAAACTATCGAAACTTGGAATGAAATATTTAATCGAATTCAATATCAGCCTTAATTAATATTAAACTACAGATGAATTATTAATCTCTCGAATTACTAATAAATCGGAAATTATGTCAGTCAATTATCATCAGTATGATATTATGGAATATAATGTATGGAATATAATACATAATATGGTATTATTATTTTTAATTAAACATTATGTTATATAATTATTATCAATTATTATTAAGAAATTTAAATAAATGTCTCAAACTTATCACTACTAATAGTACCAAAGAGAGTTGCTTTCTGACGACAATTTAATCTCTCAACTGTGCTCCGCGTGTATATACATAGGTACACGTAGATATGTACATCAAGCAGTTACCTCGGAAACGTCCTGAAATTCCTCCACTGCAAAATTCATGCGGCAAAGCAGAAGGGTAGCGTGCCGAGTGCCACCCTCTCGAGCATCTTCAATTGTTTACACGATATCACGGATGCAACGAGTCGCGTGGCGAATTCAATGCGTTGTCCAAACATCCACTTTCACTTCAACGTCCATTAAAAAAACACCAGAACAAACGATTTAATTAACAACCCTCGAAACAACCGAGCTCTAACGCGTGAAAAACGCCATAAATACCATTACTGTTTCATCGCGTAAGAAGTGAAATTATCTTTATTTATTTTACACTCTCGAGTCTATTTCATTTTGGTGATTTTATTTTAATTCACTTTGTCGTTACTCGTTTATTAACACGTATCATTTTTTAACGCAGTAATTTAATATGATGTTTTGGTACTTTTTATCTAGTGCCATTTTACGTACCATTAGAATTAGCAGTTTCATATTTTGCATTACAGTATTTTAATATATCTTTCTGTATATAACGTTCTTTATTTTTCAATATATATTTTTCAATATATTGTGTTGTTTTAGCACATTTCATTGTTTTTTTTGCGAAACAATTCTAGACGAAGTTTGAAGTTTCCTTTTTTATCGATGGAGAAGTCGTTTCGATATTTTTTTTTTTTTTTTTTTTTTTTTTTTTTTT